TAATAAATAGACATAAGAAAATGTTCAACTTTACTACCTCTTATTAAGATGCAAATTAAAACTGTAATGGGGCACAGTTTATGCATTAAATTTGAAAAATAAAATAGGATGCTGGTAAAAATAAAACATGGTGGAACTTGTAAATGATTGATGGCAGTAGAAATTGCTAAAACTTCTCTGGAATTCAGATGTTCATATCCCTGGAGTAATCCTACTTCTGAGACTATAACCTGAAGAAATAATTACAAAAAATAGGAAAAGATTTTATGCATGTGTTTAATGGCAGCCATTTAAAAGAGTGAAAGAATGGGAAGTAATTGAAATGTACAGGAAAAGGTCAACAACTGTGTAAATCATTCTACTAATTATGTAACTATGATCATGGCCAGGTAAACGATTTGGCCATGACCAAAAATCATTGGAAACTAATGCAGCACAATAGGCTATGTGTCAAGCTATAATGCCTAATTAAAGCAGAATAACAAAGTTATATTTACATCACTTTTATTATCACTGTGAAAGAGAATATGTGTATGTGAAGAAAAACTAGAAAGTAGCAAAAAATGTACAATTGACTTATTAGATAGATTTTTAAAGTTCTGTTAATATAAGGTTGCTTGTGCAACTCTTTTTTAATGTGGCGACTGAAGTGAAAATAATCCAGGTACGTTGACAAGAGCAGAGCTGAGCAAGGCTCACCTCTTTTCTACATGATATGCTTCTGTTAAGTCAGCCTTATTTCTCTTTGGCTTTTTGCCAATTTTTGTGGAGCCATGTCAGCCTGAGTCTTCACATCATACTGACGTCTGCTTTTCCTGTACTTGGGTGGCTGATTTTTGGACTCTGGTGTAGAACTTTTCATTTGTTCCTGTTAATGTCTTTTCTTGGTCTATATATTCAGCCCATCATTGAAGGCGCTCAAGATTTTTCTGGATCCTGATTTACATCTGTTACTCACCATATTCCCTGAGTGCATGTTAGCCATACATTCTATCCACATTAAAATGTACAGGAAATGCTGTATGTTTACCCCAGGCCCCGATGGCAGTGTTGAACTGAGCAGGACTGAACCCCAGAGTGCATCACATTTATTAACCAGCACTTTGATGACATTCACGTTATAATTCACTAAAACAGCCTGGCATCCCGTACACTTGTGCCAGCTTTAACAGAGAGCAAAGGTGATTGTCCTTCTTTTGTGGGTGGAAAATGAAGGTTTTAGGCTTACATGAAAGCTCAGGTGGTTTTCCTGGGCCAGGGCCAGGTTCGCCCTTGTGTTTAGTGTCTGTCATCTGCACCCTTGCCCCCTATCCTACCCACCCCCACCATGGCGTCCATGCCAGGCCACCCTTCGGGTCTGCAGGATCATCCAACACTCTTCTCAATCTTTCCTACCACAACTTTTTGATTCTTTATCCATACTCTATCTCCTGGAGTTATTTGCATTTTAAAACGGATCAAAGTTTGAAAATAGAGAGATGACATTCCGACAGTGGGATTTCAGGCACTGATGGTCAGATAGTGAAGATTTGGATGGAGTGGGGAGGCTGGCATTGGGGTCTTACAGGCATCCCTTACCTATCCACTGTCTGCAAGGTTGACCTGAAAGTAGGAGGCAGGTCCCCAGGAGACAAGGTAGATTAGATCCCACAGCCCCACAGTCCTCATCAGGCTCTTACTGGTATTTGGATAGAACTTTTAAGTCTTCAAATCCCATTCATTAATTTAATTTTATTTTCCTTCTATTCTTCCAACTGCCAAGCAAGTAAGGGAAATAGATGCCATTACCTTTGTTGCCTTAGAAGGAAGCAGGCAAAGTGGGCCTTTATGACTGGAAGCAACTGCTTCTCCCCACTTTGGGGCCTCTTCCCCCAATTATATTTGCACTGACTGAGAGAATTCCTGCAGGAGAAATTGATACATCATTGCTTCTCATGTAAACCTTGCCTGCCTCCTCATAATTATTTTATTTACCAAAAGCCATTCCCACAAATTGCCTTAACATTTGCCAAAGATCAAGACCATCTGCCGAAGCAAGCCCACACACCCTCCCTTACTGATAACTGGGCTTACCTGTTTGCATTTCTGCTTATCGTCTGTTAGTCTGGCTTATCTACTTGTCAGATTGTGTGTTCTTTAATACATTGGGCACCATATGGCCCTAGCACAAACGGCTGTCCTGTTGCCCACCCATGGGAACAATATTATGTGTGCCTTTCAACACTAACCTATAAATATCAGGTCCCCAGTACATCTAAAATTTGTTTGAACTGAGATTTTACATAATTTATAGCAAAAATTCAGTTACCCCTGTCCCCCATTTTTTAAAACAACGTGTACAATATGCATGCAGAATAAATAACAAATTGCATATTTACACAGTGAAACTGAATGAACTAAAGCTATAAGCACCATCACTGAATCGTGCTAACCTGATATTGATTGACAGAACCAAATCCCAAAAGACTATATAGATCATCACACTGTTTCTACGCTTCAAAAATAATTAAAACTAAATATCACCAGGGAGTCCTCTAAGCCACACATGTGCATGCTCATGCTCAGATGCAATCCTTCTGGGCATGGCACCTAACTCACAGGTGGGTGGAGTCTGTCTCACCAGGTTTCCTGGCTTCAGCCTTCCTCAGGAGCCTCAGCTCCTGATGGCTGGGTGCCACTCTCTTCCCCACAGACCCCTTCCCATTTCCTAAGCATGCCCTGACTGAGGCTGAAGCAACTTAGGATCCACCTGGTCCCCACCCTTCCTCCCAATCTCACCTGCCCTGTCAGAAAGATGAAGTGGTGCCTTCTCCATGGCACTATGGTTTCCCTATTCTGGCATAAGACTTTGGGTTTCTGTGGATTGCTCTCCTGGATCTCTTGGTGCCATGGGTTTGTTTGGGCATCCCACTAATTCATCTGGGATTGCCTGGTGCTGGCTGTGTCCTGCATCTTGACAAAAACATCGCTGTCCCTTCCATACTGTGCCATTCCTCAGTTGAAGCTTGAGCAATAGGATATGTCCCCAGAAGCCACCCCACTGAGTGGGTCTTGGGCCAAATCTGGACCCTCCATCCTGGTAGCCTAGTATCTTACAGCTGGATGCTTTTTGCAGGCAAATGCACAGATATATCCCCTTCAGGACATCTCTACTCATTCCGGTCTCCGTTATGTGTTTCTACCATTCAGGTACCCAAGTTCTTCAGTGATAACTATTGAACACACATCATTTCCTAAGGCCCAAGTATGTACCCAATTCTGTGTTAAATGATCTAGCTCATCAGCCTCAATGACTTCTCCATTTTATGATTAATTTTGTAAGGTCTGTTTTCTCCCTCGAATCTTAGAAATGGTGTACATTTCAGAAACAAAGTCCAAAGGGATTTTTCATTTTTCGGAATGATGCCTTAAAATTATCTCATGATAATAACTACTTTCTCCAAAATCAGAATTAAAGATTCTTTTGAAACTTTAAAATGTTTCCAGACAACAGAACAGAATCATCTGCTTCCAGTCTTTCCTCAGGACAAGCCAGCAGGAAACAGCTTTAACTTGTAGTATAAATTACAGGGATTAGAGGGAAGAAAACATTTCCTGACAATGAGGACTGTAAAAAAAATTGCACATGGTAACTGAGGTATGTTGTAGATTCCCTGGAATAAGGACACTAAAGTCCTTGATGAAGCTCAGTCTCATAAATTATGTTTTCTCATGTACTAAATTAATTTCAGGTTCCTTCCAGAGCCCAGATGATAAAACAAGAATTCACCTCTCCTTCAATTTCTGTGGCTTCAGCTTCATTTTGTTGATTCACCACTTCCATTTATTTGCTCTCTTGCTCCCAGAATCCCTTGAATCTGAACAATTAAGCCTGACTTTTCTGAGGAAAATTTTTCTTGGTTTTACTTCCCTTCTTTAAGATGAGCATATGTGTGTGCACGCACCATTCTAATTTTTTATTTCTCCAGTGAACAGTATACACTTCACCTCTCCCATCAAGTGTTGCATGAACTCAAAGACTTACACCTTCCGAAGATAATCTGCTTCAAAAACAGGCAATTTGATAGGTATGTTCAAGAAAGGCCATGAGCTCCAAATCCTCAGAGAAGCGCCAATTGGCTGGCTGCTGTGGGATCTGCTTTTGTGGAATTTCTTCCCAAGAGGGTGTCAGTCGTGAGAACCTGGAACCCGAGAGAGTGTCCAGGCCTTAGCCCAGGCAAAAAGGCTCAGATTTCTCCTGGGACCTGCTCCTGCCCACCAGAACCAGAGAGCGCCAGTGAGGGTGACGGTGGGATTAGGTCTCCATTCTTCATGGAGCTGTGTGTCCGTGGAGTATACCTTCTGTGGGGAAATTGAGTTTGAGGAAATGTAGAAGTTTTATTATATAAAATTATTTTCTCCGAAAAGAGTTTAAACTCTTTTGGCTTCAGTAGAGGGTAGTGAATATTAGCTGGGTTGGTGAGTTTTAATTTTTATAATAGTTCAGGGAATCTGATGTTGCCTGGTGTGACAGAAGGAAACAAAAACTCTGCAAGGAGAATGCACATTATCCCAAAGGCAAACTTGTTTCTAAAATCTTCCATAAAGTTGTTAACAGGTTTCAGAAATATATACTTAAACTTCAAAGTCCCAGATCTCTGCTGCGTCCTCATGCATTCAGTATGGATTACACCACTGGTAAAACATCCCAAGGAGTCCGAGGTGGCCGCCCGCGGTTAGGCGAGAATCCAGAGGTGACAGAGGGACTTGGCTGCTTTCTTGCACCTGACTCACCCCCTCTTCCTTTGGAGGGGATAGGGGCATGAACCAGAGGCTTCTACCTCTTTCAGATCATCTTGGAGGCTCCACAACCTCACCTGACTTTCCGAGAGAGAGGGAGGCAACAGGCTCCTTCCGCGGTCCGCAGAGGAGAGTCCCGGGGCCGGGCGTGGGGGAGGGAGCCAGCCCGAGCTGCTGCCCGGAGCAAGAGGGAGCGAGCAGGAGACGCTCTGCAAGACGGAGGCGCGCAGCGGAGAAACCAAACTTTGGCGGGGTAAGGATTTTAGGGTTTTGAGCAGGGAGTTCTTGGGACGCTGGGAGGTGTGCTGGGGACGCAGACTCGGGCCAGGGGGTGGATTAAAGAGCTACGTGCCAGGGAGCGGAGTGGTGGCGCGCAAGCCGAGAGGGCGCTGTCCGCAGCCCCTGGTGCTGAAGCGGGACGCTTCTTGGCTGAAGAGAAAGGGGAGAAGTAAGGGACAGCCCCGCCTCTGCTCCCACCCCGAACCCCTCCAGGCCGGTCAAAGAACAAGAAGGCGTCCTCCATGCTCCCCAAGCCTACCGCACCCCCTTTTACTCACGTCCCGAGCCGCGCTGGGCCGAGCCGCTGAGCCGTCGGGTGGAAGGCAGAAGGAGCGGGGCTGGCTCACGCTTGGGACAGGAATGGGGTTCAGCTGCGATACCCCCACACCCGTGACACTTCCTCCAGATACATTGTACCCGCAGGTTGCGGCCCGCACCTTCACCGCCTGCAGTCTGGGAAGGGGCTTCCCAGCCGCCTCACTCTCCCTTGCTCCAGGTGGGGGAGTGGGGTGCAGAGTCTCCCCAAGTCCGTGCCACGCGGGGGCGGGGGGCGGGAGACAAGTTGTGTCCGCGGCTCGGAAGGAGCATAGACCCAGGGAAGCAGCGGGCTGGGGCGCAGGGCTGCATCCGCCAGCCCCTACTCAGCCTTGGGGATCCAAATAGACAGGTGGACAGAGGAGGGTGAGGAATTAAAATTCTTTGGAGGAGTGGGCAGTTACTTTTTGTTGTTGTTGTTGTTAATGATAAAACCATACCCCCCGTCTTGGCCTGTCGTGGCCTCAGGGCTTAGCGCTAGGGTAGCGCGCAGAGGGGCGGAGGGCCCTCTGATCCTTCGCAATCCCCTAACCGGATAAAGGCGCCGGCTCTGGTTCTCGGGCTTTTCTCCAAAGCTCAGCCCCCCACCCTCCCCGCCGCCCCCAGGGGGCCGGGCCCGCTGGCGCCCGCGCTCTGACCACCGCAGGCTGCGGCCGAGGCGCTGGGGGTGGAGGGGGTTGTTTCATTTTCTCCCCTTGCAATCTCACTATTTATGCTGCGTTGGGACTTTAAACTTTGTCACTCTGAGGTGAGCATCTCTGGCTAGACGTGGCGTGTGGCCGAGGGTGGAGTGAGCTAGAGCAGAGAGGACCTGGCCCCCGGCTCAGCACTCTCCCCGCCGCGAAGCCCAACAGCCCGACGGCGAGCACTAGGCCGGGATCGGTGTCGCGTTCCCTGGTGCTTCGAACCCTGGGGGAGCGGCCCCCGACCTGGGTTCGGACTCCATCCCGGAGCGGACAGCTCAGTCCCCTCCGACCTTCTCTATCTGCCCCTCCACACACTTTCATTCATAAAAACGAGCGACAATATAGCCGTCTGGCCGCGGCGGTCACAATTGGCCATTGCCGCGTGCTCTCATACACCGGCTAAGTGAGAGCTCACGGGGGGCGGGGGCGGGGAACGGTGGAACGTCGCGGGAGAGGGGAGATGGTCACCCCGACGTGCTGTAGCCAAACCAGGTCTTCTACGCCAAAGTCTCGGTTGTAGAAAAGTCTACCAGGTCTCAGGACCCACTTGGGATTTCACCGAGCTCGCGGGAGCTCCTTGGGCCGGGGTAGGACATGAACTGCCCTCTGCTTCGCACGAATGCCCAGACGCACACACACTTCCTCAGCCTCTGTTCAGCCACAGAGGGGTCCTCACCGGCGCCATGCGGGGAGGGGGTGAATGGCGGCTCTCAGAGTAACTCACTAGTGAGCGTAGAATCTCAATCACTTTAGCAGGGACTTTGGCCTTGACTGCGCGTGCCACTTGCCTTTGATGCTTCTGTTTTTATACCTTTTCTGTCCTCATTCACTGCCTGCCAGTGATCACTGCGTCTGGTTAATAATGGGGTTGCCATGGTGATCAGTCTCTCTGGTCGCCATGGTACCCAGGAGGTAAACAGTTGGAAGCTAACAGGCTCTTCTCTGGCTCTCCCTGATTGCCTGTCGCTGGTTTCCCGCCGGAGGGAGGGAGAGTGGCCAGGACTAGAGTCCAGAGCCTTTCTCTGGGCCTACACCCCTCTGCCTACCCAGGCGTCCCGCTCACCTGAAACCGTCTCTAATCCCACAACACCACCCAACAACACCGTGGCCTCAAGGTTGAGATGGGTCAAGCTTTTTTTCTCCAATGCACATTACATACATTGAGGACAGTGGGTTAATAGTTTTCCCTCTGACCTAATTCATTTCAGTTGCACACTGACTGCTCCTGAGTACAAAGCACAAGGCTAACTCCAGGGGGAGAAACAGAGTTAAATTAATTAGACAGACACAATCCTTGCCCTTTGGGACCTCACAGTGTAGTGTGGGAGACAAACCCTCATACAACCTACCAGCTGGCCTGTGCTCTGGTTGGAAACGGAGCTGATAAGAGACCATGGAGTACTATTCAGCTTTAAGAAACAATGGTGATATAGCACCTCTTATATACTCCTGGAAAGCGCTGGAACACATTCTACTAAGCGAGGTATCCCAAGAATGGAAAAACAAGCACCACATGTACTCACCATCAAACTGGTATTAGCTGATCAACATTTAAGTGCACATATAAGAATAACATGTATTACATGTTGGGCAGGGAGAGGGGGAGGGGAGAGGAAGGGACGGGCATATGCACAAACAATGAGTGCGATGCGCACCTCCGGGGGAATGGACGCACTTGAAGCTCGGACTTGGGGGGGAGGGAGGGTAAGGGCATCATACGTAACCTAATCATCTGTACCCCCATAACATGCTGAAATAAAAAAAAAGAGAGAGCCTTTGTCTACTGAGAGAGGTGGGAGTGACTGGTTCCTGGTCAGGGAGTGCCCCTCAGGGGAAATCATGTTGGAGTTGAAATCAGCTTGCCAGGAAGAGGGAAAAATTCTCTCTAGGCAGAGGGCTGAAGGGGAGCAAAGATGTGTGGATTAGCTGGGAGAGCAGGCCCTGCTGTGGTAGCACAGAGCACATCTCGGTGGCTTAGCCCATCGCTTATGCGAAGTCTGAGGTTATGAGGTTTTGTGGGTCCTGCATCAGGGAGGAGTCCACTGGCCAGAGCCTGTCACTCAGCCCTCACCTGGCCCGGAAGCGAGGCTGGGAAAGCCAGGAGGCACAAGGTGAGCTTTGGGGAGCACTGTCTCTACCAACAGGTGGGGCAAGAAAATTCATACACACGTAAGGAAAGGGTAAGGAATTTGGTGTAGATGGAGCATCTAGATTAGGTCAATTTGATCTAAGTTATAAAAAGTCTTGAATGTCAGGCTAAGAAATAGGGACAGTGTTCTGGAGAAACTAGGCAACCTCTGGAAGTTTCTGAGAGAGTCACATGATTAGAATTACCTTTTAGAAAGACCCTGAGGTCACTATGGTAGGTTCATTCATTCACCCATTCATTCATTCATTCCACACCCATTGAGCACCTCCTAAGTACTAGGCAGTGAATGGATTGCAGAAGTGAGAAACTGAAGACGGGAGATGAGCAAAGAATCATTTCAACAATCCTGGGGAGGCAGACAGGGCCTAGACAAAGGCGGAAACAGCACTCAAAGAGGCCAGGAGCTGCTTCTGTCTGGTTCAGCACTGTACACCCACTGCCCAGCAGAGACCTTCGCACATGGTTAGCGTTCGGTCCTTTTCTGAATTAGTAAATGAATGAGTGGAAGGGGGCAGACAGTCGGTGACATAAGTGGCAGGACTTGGTGATGCTGGATCTGGGGCAGTAAGGGAGAGGGAGGGGTGAAAGTTCACACAGAATCTTAGCCGAGTGGTCAATTGACTCTGGGTGTCATTCATGGCATTAGCCAAGACAGGGGTTGAGGGAGGAAGAGCACGCCTCACAGTAGTTGGGGCAGTGCCATTTGGAACAGTTTTGCACCAAAGAATACTCTTCCCTGGACATGCTGCACCCCTCAGACAGTCTGCACCCAGACCTCTCCTAGTCCCCAGAGCGCTTTTGTCCTTCTTTGCAGGGTTCATACATTTCACCTTGAATTATAATGCAGCGTATGGATTCAAGTTAAACAGGCTTTTGCTCTCTAACTCTGCCACAGGGTGACTCTGAACAAGTTATTTAATCATTCTGAGTCTCAGCTTCTTGATGTATAAATTGGAAGTAATAGTTGTAACACCTGCCACATCGGGTTGTTGAGGGGATTAAAGGAATTGAAGTGAATTCTTTAGCATAGTGCCTGACACATGGCCAGTGCTCAAAATTAGATATGACCATCTTATCATTTCCTATAATGGCAATGCATTACTTTTATAATCATACCGCAAAAGTTAATTAAGAAAAATAAAAACCCTCCTGTGCTTGCAGCTAGGCTTGGTGAAGCAGGTCTTGGAGAAGGAAGGGAGGGCCTTAGCTCGGCCTTGCTGGCCCAGGTTTTGTGGTCGGGGGAGTGGGTTGGGGAGAGAGCGTCTATAGGACTGGCTACAGAGATCTAGGTTCCCCAGCTCCGGTGCGATCTGGAAAGTACTTTCATCCTCTTGGAATCTCGATCTGAACAGCTGAATCTTAATACAAAGCATTAATTTCAAAACTGAGTACACTCAGAGCTGAGGAACCCAGAGTCCCATGAATTCCAAATCGCCTCTGCAGAAAACCAAGACACTTTCTAGACATGAGACAGGCCTTTGCCTCCTCGTTAAGTAATATAATTGATAACTTTGTTCCAATTTCGGTGCAGCTAAAGCCCTTCCTGTTCTTGGGAACAATGTTAATTTTTCTTCTGAGGCAGGAATTGAAAATTTGCGGCTGGCATTTAGAAGCTTCCTTTTGCTTATGTCATAGAAATGCAGAGTTGGGAGGAGAGAGAGCTTCACCTTTCAGGCATGAGAAGGTTTCTTTGGGAAACAAGACTCGAGTCTCCTAACTCAGACTCATTATCTCCATCTTGGTGCAGGGCCATTCCTGGGTTTGGGGCAGCCTCTACTCTATGCCGCAGACAGGGGAGAATGGGATTCTGAACTACATCTCCCC